TCATACATTCTGGATTTACTTATTCATGCTCATTGCCATGATGGGTAAGCCTTATGATTATGATTTCTGTTTCATTGCCAACAGTGTTTTAGGGATTAGCTATTAACCTAATGTTTACATAACCCAATCTCATTTCGTACAAGGTAGATAAACGTCCTTTTTGTCTTTCCGCACATGAAACCCTACTGTACATTGACTTGATAGCAAGGATGCATTATAAAATGTCTATTTTAATTCCTCGACAATTGCGTGTAAGTTAAAAAATAGGGTTAGGGTCAGAATTATAGAACACAAAAATACTAGCGGTCAATTTCTGAAACATTGTTCTTCTTTTTTACACTAGCGGAGCGTCACTGTTATGTTTGTATAAAGTGTTCGTCATCGGAACAAAATTATGCATAAAATTTAGTGCACTCAAGGCTGAGTGATCTTCAGGGTAACTTGACAAATATGAATTGTGGCGTAATTAATTTATTGGGTTAATAATAATGGCGAACATGGAGACTAATATGTTTGGAACATATTTGAATGAATTTACAAGGCAGTAGATATGCTGATGTATGTACCTCTCTAAAATTGAACGTTATCTATGGGCGATATCTGACGAAAATGGTACTTATAGACGTCATGGTGACATCATAATTATATCATAATCATAAATAATAACACCGGACATAAACTCCGGCGCTGCGCTTCCTATTTCTGAAACCTATATAATGCCTTTGTAAATAACCAAGACAAATTCAAGTCAAACATTACCAAGACTTTATTAACAAAACAAAAATGTATAACAACGAGCTTCCTGTCAAGAGAAACCGCACGCAATTAGCGACTAACCTGGAAAAAATAAACGTAAGTCATCGCAGACTTATTTACTAAAAGTTGGAACAAGACTATTTATATTTACTATTGAATTATCTCTTACATTCTTTCAGAATTGGGTAGAGTATGTCGACGATACCCTTAATTTTCCGGTAGTCCATGCCTCCTCGTTCTCACAATTTGTTGGGGTAAGTTTTCCGTTTTGTTCCGTTTGCAAATGCCCGAGCATATCGTCTACAATATGCTTTTTTTTTTTTTAATTGGTGACGGTTTACCGCTCGCCGCGACTTCTTGAGAGTGTGAATTTTTATTTATTATTTTATTTATTATTTTTATTTTTTTGACACCATTGCTTATACAAAACCGTTTTTCTAATCTTTTTAGGCGAAACTTTGTAAATGTGCTGCCCTTGTCCGATTGGACAACGTAAATTCGGAGATGCTCGTGCGACCACGTTAAAGATCGTTTGCACGAGCAATCGTCATTACTCAACGTTTGAAAGAAAATGGTGGCTACACCATAATGGACAATTTGAATGTTTATAGTTCTTTCCTTCTTATCCAGAGTTTGCTGGCAACTATAGTCAAATTTTTTGAACGTACCAGCTATTTTTGTAAACATAGAACAACTTAAATATTTATGTCGTCATCTCCTTTTATCACATTTTACCATAAATCTATCTTTCCTGGCCATCTATCATTAACAATCCTCTCTCCCTCCTCCTAATATTATATTACCAACTAATTCCCTGGCTTTAGGCCTTTATTGATTCAATTAGTCTTGTAGATAGCTTGGCTTCTTCATGTACTACTGTCTAAAAGCAGCTTTAGCAGTTTTCTGTAGTTGTCAATAAAGGTCCTATAAAATCGAGTATTTGTGTCATTGTCGATTTGTTAGCGGTTCTTTTTCCCAGACACTCCGCCAGATGAGAAAATAAACGACTTACAATCGTATGGATTTAAACTGAGCGATGACACAATTGGAGACTTTCTGATGACATTTGAGCATAAGTTAAGAGATATAAAAGATGACGCGTTTGCCTTACTTTCCAATGCATTATCGTCTCAGTTTCAATACACTACCAAGCGGTTTGTGCAGTACCATACCGCCGAGCTGGTTTTATTCGGATAAAATCTCTTTTATATATCCATACATCCCTTCCCTAGACCTCGCTCCTCCAATCCGTCCATTTGAAATAATAAACCCAATCTTTCTCGAATTCTTAAATTCCAGTTAAATTATTTTCAGTCCTGTGTTGATTTTGGTCAAACCCGCAGCCTTCATCCAATCTGAGTATTACATAATGCTGATCTGGAAGCATTAAGCTGTTTCGATGGATGATGGTGAAGAAAGGGATGGAGAGACATAAAAAGCGGACATTCATACGAATGACCCCCGAAAAAACACGTAAATTTTGAATCCGCAGGGCTACGTAAAAGAAAAAACAACAACAAAACGCGTTTGTTTACGCGATCCTCACATTGATACTTATTTTATTTGTTTGCATTTTATTAATTATATAAACAATTATCTTTTACTGGTTTGCTTTAAAAACATGGTTAGCGCAAGGCTTGAAGCTCAGTGGCAAATGATATTGTTCCTGCAAAAAACAAATACACTTAGAAACTAGCATTTCTCTTCGTACTGTTGAGCGAAATATTCAAAAGCTCAAAGAAACAGGTGCCATCGAAGAATACACAAATTCTCGCTTGTTCCTTGGGTCAACATATTTTTCGGCACCTGCCCCTATATGTTTATTTGGAGACATGAAAAAAAAAGGGATGCCATAACTCTCTGCCTCTTGCGACTCCAGCCGTTATATGAAGGCGTGCACAAGCTCATTAACAATATTTACAGATGAGACGGCTTTCGATCAAGCCGGAAGAACCTATCATAATAGATGACCGCCACTCAGCCGGAAGGACTTCATGTAATAGACGACCGCCAAAAGATTATGGCGTGGGGGGAATGTCAAGTTCAAACCGACTAATTGTTTTTGTTCACCAAAACCATCCCAAGTGCGAAAAATTCGTATCGATAACAATGCAATAGTCCTGTCCAGACGTGTAAGACATTATATTGAAGAATGGGAAAACATTGTAATAGTCCTGTCCAGACGTGTAAGACATTGGTGGATTAAAACAATATATTTGAAGTTTGCGTCCTTTTATTACGATAGATGTACTTACACTAATATAAAGCTAAACATATTTATAATTAAGTATTAGAAAGTTAACTATAGACCTCTAGAAACCTGCTGCAGGATAAACTAGTACTAGGGAGTTAACTTGTAATATGGCTGGGTGCAAACACCTATTCCAGGGTACTTGCAAACTGTGATCTCTATTTTTTTCATTGAGCATATTAAATTTTCACTGTTTGGTCTGAAATGGTTTCCCATAGATGTAAATTAGTTATAGAAAATAAAGGATAAAGTATGTAATAAGTTTAAGTGGAAAGAATTTTGTCGAGATACAGACTGGCTTCACTTCATAATACTGACTCTTGAAACCAGAAATCGTAGAATTAAAAATAGCAACATATATGGGCCGCTGTAGGATTTTACCGTATCTTACAAAATTCCGATTTGGAACAAGAAAATTCAGTTTGTGCATAATTCCCAGCCAGAATACCAAAATATTCATACATTTTATTATTATTTTCAAATGCTTTTATTTGTAAATAAAGAACATCTTTTACAGTTCTAAGAATGATATTTTTGCAGGCTCTAACTTCATCAACCAAACCACTTTTTTCGTTTGCTCGTTGCGTTCCGCCCCGTCACGTCTGCAAAAATCTGATTCTCTAACGTCTTCGTCTTCTGTTTCTCCTCCCACAATTCTCTCTGTTGGTCGACCGCAAATAAAACTGGTCGAAGAAAGCCTTTAGGCTAGGCTCGTGCAAGTCTCGCATTCCATCATCATCAAATGCATATTGGGCCTTCTTTCTTCATATAACAGGTATTGCATAGAATAACTCCTTCCTCCCACCGTCGTCGAATATTACTATCCTCTGATCAAATAGAGAGAGATTTCAACGGTTACTATAATTGTATATACATACAAGTAAAGACAAACGAATTGTGTGATTTCAATACCATATAATAATATCCGCTGAGCACCGCTATATCCGCGGGCGAGAGACGGAAGAGGCTGGGGGGGGAGTTTCTGCTGTTTATTTCCCCCCATGCTTTTATCATTAGCATCTCTCTCCGCTCAACAAACGTAATTTAGCCGAGTGTGTGGATTCACACCCCGTGCAATGCTTAACCTTAGGGTTTTCGTTAAGCAATAGCTATGAGTGAGGAATTCAACGGGATTCAAGCAATAATAGACTTTTGCAGTGCAAGTTTGCTTACTTTTTTTTGCAGCGATGAGCTACACAACCTTTAACAATAGGGAGTGCTTATTTTTAGAGGTTACGGTGCAAAACACGCTACCATACACTCTCGGCGTTCGGCGACAATTTCAGTTCGCAGTGACCACTGCGAACAACTGTGTGTAAATATAAACAGTGAAAATATAAGCCGTGAAAAACATTAGAAGGATTGTGGGGGAAAATTTTTATTTGTTGAATTGTGTAACACTTTCCTTATATGGGACGATCTCTGTTGACAGTCAACTAATACTAACAAAGTTTACCCAACCATCAGCTCTTCCAAATCTACATAGGCTGCCGAGTTGCAACCTGAATTTACTATCGATATCGCATCATCTCCGTGACATCAGCACTCATAAACATTGGAAGGTCGGTTATGCAATATTTGAAGTATCTCGTCAAGGCAGGCACCACGAACTTACGATTATTTGTCCAATTCTAAGATCTACTTGCTCGACAGTAAGATATAGAAATTGGAAATAAGTGAATGAAGAAGAAATGAAACTCGAGGTGAATAGAGGTGATTTTCATCGAATGTAGGAGTCGGCAGCTTATCACTCTAATAGCATTGGGAAAGTATATGAAGGAAGGTTGGTAGGTTAAAGAAATTGGGGTTTGGGAAAAAGTTTATTGAATACATGGAATGTATGATGTTGAACCGCTTATATTTTGCCTAGGAACATTCACAAACGTCAAGGAAGGTAATCAATAATGCCCACATTAAATCGACATGAGTGAATCATGTGGCGTCGTTGATTTAAGTATGTATATTATGAAAACCACGTTAACGGCGGATGTCCTTTGTATTTCTGCACCGTAATAACGATCGAACTTTATGTATTATCAAGACTTTATATATGGGTCGCATGTTAAAGAATGTCGATCAGGGAAGCCGTTGAATTTCAAGATCCTGCTCCGCTTATACATACAACTGAAGGACTATGAAAACGTGAGTCGTTATATTCTGTGCTCTATATGGGGTTTCAAGAAGAGTTAACTGAGCAGATACGTTAAAAGTTTGGTTCTGGTTTTACTATAATGTGCGCAAATCATGAATCAATATTCTAATATTGTATTATGTATCATTGATATTATCAGGCTTTACTTCACTTTACGATTATAGATATCGTAGAGGAGCGTTAATATACAAATTCTCCTGCAAGACGGTATCATAAATTTTCAGCAAAATCGTGCCCGCTTGTAGCAACAAATTGCATCGTGGTAAGAGCTCTTATTTTAGTATCGGAACACCAGCAGGGAACAAACGTGTATATGATATTAATCTCTAGCAATAGGAATCATCGAGAATCTTGTGAGATGACGGGATACTCCGGCAAACCTAGGGTGGTCGTAACTGGCGTACTAGTAGATGGAAACACACCTTCCAATTACTTATCGCCCCCACCCCTCTTTGTTGTTTACAGTGAGACGCTTTCCTTACCCAGAGGTCAGCAACGACAAAAAAAAATAATACTCTCAAACCCCCCTCTCTCGAAGCGGTATGTATGATGGGAAGACACAATATTATGTTTCTGTTTATTTTCTCTCTGACACCACCCGACTCCACCACCACCACCACCGCCACACACACAAAAAGAACGAGAAAATTTTCCGTCACTGAGAAGATTTAAGGGTATGGATGGCATATGGATAAATGTGCAATAGATTAGTTGTCAATCATGATATATGTAACCATTAAGCTGCAAAACTTGTCACCATCATGCGGGCTGGCGGGAGAGGAACCAGATAAAATGAATGATATGATGTCATTCGCAATCGAGCTACATTCAGAAGAAGTGAAGGTGTGGGAAGATTAGATTGGTGCGTTGTAAAACGAGCATATGGGCTTAGAAGGCACGAATCAGGCAATTGATTTATAAGGAATGACTGAAGCATCAAGTTCTTCCATGGACGTAAATTCGGGTTTACCTTCTCATCTACTGCATGATCTAGCAAGTTTGAAAAGAGGGTTTAGCCTGAATTGGAACGAGATACGGAATTGGTGTGTAATGTCATTTCTGAGTAACCATTGTTTTATTCTATTACATCTAGAAGCTGCCGAAACGATCAAGAGGCTGTGAAAACGCCAGGAGCAATTTATGGTACATAATGTAATCAAAAATGCTTTGTGCATCTTCCAACCGAGTTGTGCGATCAGGGATTTTTACTGGCAATACATATTAGTGGGTTGTTGTTCTTATAGGGTGAGCCTAGACGTTAGAGGCATTGACCAAATAATAACAATAATGTAAAAATCTGCTCTTTGGAAGGTTGTGATCCCTTAGCTTTTTCGAGGAAATCTTACAACCGGAGCTTCCACAGTACATACAATCATTCTAACATATTGGGTGAGTGTGTATTTTATTGATGCAAAATGACTTCATTATTATTTGAAGATTACAAATGAAGGCAACTCCCTCACAATAGAGAAAAAGAACAATCGCTATACTGTGATCTATGAAAATACCGTATATTATCGTGAATAAGCACACCCCCTCGATCATATGAAAATGATCGGCAAAACCGTTACGTAAATAACAAACTTAGGGGGTTAGTTTATAGTAATCACAGTAACCAGAATTGTATTATAGAATGATTTTATAATCACTGCATTATGTAATAAACTGTTAATGAGGGGTACATTGTGCGGGTAATCATGGTAATCATGGGGTGGGTGTGCTTATTCACGATAATATACGGTAACTAGTGTCTGTTTATATGGCTCTGCCCCGCCTGACTCGCATATTGTATGAATTAAACCTATGGATCTCTATTCAGATCGCACCAGCGTCAAATTGCAACACTGGTACATTGTTCATTTCTACAGGAAAGATATGGATCTGTGAGATGTCATATAGAATGCTTATTTATCGATTACGAAAAGTTCGAGCGATCATGGAAATGTCTAAAGCTTAAAAAAAAAAAAAAAAAAAGAATTGGAAAAAAAAGTACGTACTCAAGTGACGACTTGTTTTTCTAGTGATCCCCCCCATTAAAAAATGGTATTGTTTGCTTCCGCCAGCGTTCTCGGATATTTTTTCTTTTTCTTTTTTCTTTTTTCGATTTCTTGCATCAACTAAGAAGGAAATAAACGAGTTAAATGTTGAGTTATTATATTACCTTGTGAGTGCTGCTTGTACATACCATTCCAACTTGTTTAGATCTCTCCTCTGCTCATCTACTTTCGAGTCTGGCAAGTCCGGCAAGTCCGGCCTTGCCTCTCCCCAGTAATGGGCGCTGATGCATTCTATCGACCTCACTCTCTAATTCTCGTCTGATTTCTGCACAGTGTTCTTTACTTCTCGAATATCTTGTTTTAGAAACCCGAGCGAAATTCTGAGATCACTTAGTTCTGCTTCAGCTTTAGAAACAGAGTTGGCGATTGTAGAGATATTCAAACGCGGATCTGTATGCTGACGCCCAAATTTCTCTTTGAAAATTATGTGTAATTGTTAATCACTAGATATCTATAACAGCATTATGGAGATTAAAAAATAACTTACCATCTAATGCAATCTCTAATTGTATACAAGAAGCAGTTGACAGACCCATTGCTTTTATGTGATCGAACCTTAAACGTTCTAGTAATTGCCAGTCGCGTAACAATCCCTCTCGAGCAAATATAGGTACGATATCGGCAAGTCCCTTGCTCTTTAGCCAACGACCGATCTCGGTCTCTGTCTCATCTGGATTAGCAACCCGCAGACGTTTGTGTTGATTGACTAATCTTGTTGGTTCTCTGTTAAAAACCGAACGGGCACTACTGCTCGCGGACGAGTCTGTATGATCACTAGCGAAAGGACGCAGAGCTTTTACTATATCAATATTTCTCTTATTCCCTTCCTTTAAGCCATGTTTCTTGCACAGCTGCTGTAGTTCTATGCGGGTCATTTTTTGAAGAGAATCAACAGTAAAGGAACTATTTGGCATAGTTATTATAGTGAAAAAATGAGACGCGCGCTTTCAGTATCAGCTCATTTATTAGTATGAGATCTGTCACATGCAACAAATGCATGATCACGCAGATATGGAGTACACGATAAAAATATACAGCAATTTCGTTTTCAGTACTAAAATGCCTTTTCGTTTCTACAAAGAAATCTAATTAAGGTGAGAAGTTTCACATATGCAAATATTCACAAAAGACAACTTGAATATGCAGAATGTTCTGTAAATGTCACTCTAAGTCATTCGTTGGAGTGAAAATGGGTATGGGACGACCACGTATTCTCAACTGTCTCTGGAATATTGGAAGGTATACTTTCAAAAACGACCCATTTCCTGGAAGAATGTCTTTTGAGAAAGTTACCAAAGGACAAAAAGCGGGATAATTTGGTTATTTGTGGAACCAGCGACCTGGAAAAATAGCAGAAGTTGAAGAATCAGACAGGCGAACTGTCAATCTCGTAAAAAAAGATCTATCATTGTTAACACAATCTCAAATTTTGCTTCATCCTTTAGTCCGTCACTAAATTTAGTATCTGGGAACTCCCTCTAATACTAATTCTCGAAGATATAATAATAAGTTACAGTGTGTAACAAAAAAAAGGAGATTTTTTTTGTTTGGTAAAAACGCGTATAACTTTTCCAAAAACAATCCAATTCGCGTCGTTGAAAAAATAAAATAAACAACAACACTTGATGCATGTTTTTGTTTATAACACACACATTATTCTGTCTTTCCAATTATCAAAAAATTGCTGTTCAAAAAATGACTTCTGCCAAAGAAACACAACGTCAAACAATATTACACTTATGGAATCAAGGCATAACCAATGGTCAAGAAATACATAGGAGGACAAACATACCTCT